TACAAAAGTGAGATTGAAATTTCAAAATTTCGACTGACGTGTTTATTACTGAGAGGGTAATAACGAGAATCATTATATTATACTTCCTCACGTTATCATGCATTTCTACAGTGCAATGATAAAAATATATTTATCATTTTGGTCTGAACTTTGTGTTAAACATTTTCAAAAACAAATGGTAAAATTAAAAAAATTGTGTAACCGACTTTAATATAAATAAAATGAAAAATTAATCAATGTAGTCAAAGTCGTTTAAATACGAATTATTAAGAATAACTCAAAAACTACTGGTCAGGTCTTGATCAAATATATTTAGGACGACATGAAAGCACCAGCTTTCAAATAAAAAGAATCATCAAAATTGGTTCACCCAGAAAAAAGTTCTGAAATAACACACATAAAAATACAGTTGAATTGATAACCTACTCCTTTTTTTGAAGTCGGTTGAAAAAAAAGCTTCAAAGTAATTATCACGCACCGATCCTCCAATTATAGATAAAATTGAATTAATATTAAGCCTAGTACGGGTAGGCAAAGTGTAGGGCGGCCCACCACTAGAGTGACTGAAGATCTGGTGACACATGCAGGAAGTTGATGGATGCGTGTGGCTCAGGACCGTACTTTGTAGCATTCCTTAGGGAAGACCTATGTTCAACAGTGGACTTGTGAAGCCCTTTAACGATGAAAATATATATAGGATAAATTAATACTTTAAAAGTCTCGCCAGATTTCTAGCTGAATTCTGCAGGAAAGATTTTTTTTCGAATCAGCAGCAAAAATATAAATGACTTTTAATAAGTATTCCTTACTTAATATTGAATAAAACATTCTATTTCTATATTACCACATTACACGGCTTGTATTTGATTTTCTTCCCCCAGTTTAACTTAAGATGTCCCGAACATAGGCACTGCACTGTAGTAAAACAGACCTCAAGTGATCAGGCGTATTATTTATTCCTTTCTGCGACTCCTATAATAGTTTGCTAAATTATCCCGTTAGTTGTCGCACCATATTACTTCTGCACAGCTGACATTATTTAAATGGAACTTTATATTTAGTAACGAGCTCTTGATTGAGTAGTTGAAAGCTAGTTTTTCCAGCGACAAAAGAGCAACAAATTTGACCTATTATTTTACTCAATCATTCGTCGATTTCGTTACTACGTATATTACGTACGTACGTAGGTACGTACGTATTTAATAAAAGCTGCTTATTTTTCACTATTCCTTTACAGAGCTTTGGTACAACCTTACTAAATATTTATTTAGAACTCTACTTGCCAACAAAGTAAAACGTCCACTGACAAATAATTGTAAGAAATATTTGTAATGTATTGATACGTAGGTAAATAAAACTGTTCAATGTAGAACGGAAAAAGTTACGTTTCACGATATGAAGGTCGGCTCACAATACACAATAATTGATCAATATGAATGCTGATCAAGGAAAAATTGTATTTCATTCAGTTATAACTTTAGTGCCTACGTATTTTATATTTCACTTAGTTTTATTTACCTATTCTAATAAAATTTATTTCGAAGTGGTAAAGGGGCATAAATATGAAATAAATGCTTATTGCAGAATTAAATCTCCGTTTATCGCGACAAATAAACAACAATTAGAATTTTAGAAGAATTCAAAGGATGAATAGTATTCTCACCATAAACTTCACATCATCATCATCATTACAGCCCTTCACAAGTCCACTGCTGAACATAGGCCTCCCCCAAGGAATGCCACAAAGCACGTTCCTGAGCCACCTGCATCCATCGATTTCCTGCATATCTTACCAGGTCGTCACTCCATCTAGTGGGGGGTCGCCCTACACTTCGCCTACCGGTACGATGCTTCCACTCGAGAAACTTTTTTCCCCAACGGTTGTCGGTTATTTGAGCTATATGGCTGGCCCATTGCCACTTCACCTTACTAATTCGTTGGGCTATGTCGGTCACTCTGGTTCTACTGCGGACACTCCCATTTCTAAGTTTATCCCGCAGAGAAATCCTGAGCATAGCCGTCTCCATAGCTCGCTGAGCGACTTTGAGCGTCCTCATATGGCCAGCAGTGAAGGAACATGTCTCAGTTCCATAGGTCATCACTGGCAACACGCACTAATTGTACAATTTAGTTTTCAGGTTTTGAGGTATACCTAACGAGAAGATGCGTCGTAATTTCCCGAACGCTGCCCAGCTGAGTTGAATCCGTCGATTGACCTCTCGGTCGAAGTTGGACTTACCTAGTCGGACTATTTGTCCCAAGTAAACGTACTCGTTAACAACTTCGAGCTTAGTGCTCATTAAACATGATCTTTGTATTGTCCATGTTCATCTTAAGACCTATCCGTTGGGAGGCACTATTGAGGTCATTGAACATAGTGCTTAAGTCCTCTAGCAATTCTGCCACAAGGACTATATCGTAGGCAAATCGAAAGTGAGTGATGTACTCGCTATTGATGTTAATACCGTATTCTTTCCAGTCCAGTAGCTTGAAAACGTCTTCCAATGTAGCGGTGAAGACTTTCGGGGATATAACGTCACCTTGTCATACAATTCTCTGCAGTTGGATAGGTTTTATACTCTGATTCTGTACTCGGATAACCATCGTAGCCCTACTGTACAAAAACTTCAGGACTTCGATGTACCGACAGTCAACTTGGCACCGCTGAAGAGACTGTAGCACCGCCCAAATTTCGACGGAATCTAAGGCTTTTTATACTCCTGTCAATTTACATTTGCCGACCATACGGAAATAGTGCAATTTTACGGTAGGTTAAAAATAAAACTTCATAGAGTAACTGACTTTTGTTTAGACTATAGCATCGCCCAAATTTCGACGGATTCAAAGGCTTTTTATACTCCTGTCAATTTACATTTGCCGATCGTACGAAAATGGCGCAATTTTACGGTAGATTTAAAAATAAAACAATCAAAAAATAACTATAGAATAGAGAATTTCGTATAAATTCTATAATGCCAAACTTCTTTAAAGAAAAGTAGTCTATAAATATAAGTTGTAATGGTTTTAAGTGCTATGGGTGGGGGCGACCGCTTGGGATTTGACGGACGCATGCTATAAAAACTTATATTTATTTATAGACTACTTTTCTATAAAGAAGTGTGGTATTATAGAATCTATACAAAATTCTCTATTCTACATTTTAAACAAAAGTCAGTTTGATTAAACATTACAAAAATACTTCATTATATTTTAGAGAAAATTACTATTCTTTCTATATATTACTCGAAATTATTTACGTAATTAACTACGTTGACCTTTATAATAATTTCATAATATAAAAAAAACTATTCTTAACTTAGAAAAATCCAAAAATCAACGCAACAATGTACAACAACGAAACTCGGCAATGACGCACTTTGAATGTAGATTATAAATAAATATCTATAGACTAATTGAATTTTTATTCAACTACAGGATAGAAAATTTCATATTGATTCTATTATGCCAAACTTCTTCATAGAAAAGTAGTAGGTGCAGTCCCATGAGACCGCTAGGGATTTGACGGAATATGGCCGCGATGTCATGAGATCGCTAGGGGATTGAGCGGCTAGATTACGTATGTATATAATTATTTTAAGCTAGATTATATCGTCACTGAACAGCCAATACTACTTAAGCGCCATTTTGGCCAAAATGAGTTAGTTATATATATCGTTGGATTAGATTTTTTCTTCTGCGTCGATTAGTCTGTATTTCGTGATGATCTGAGCACTTTTTAAGCGCTTAAGCGCTGCAAAAGTATGGTGTTTATCATAATTTTCATGTTTTGACAAATACTTACGTAATACAAGTTATGATTAATTTCTAGTCGTTGTCACTTTAGTATTTTTTTTAACTGACAACAGACATTTCAATTTTGTTCAGCAACTCAAAAGCTGTAGGTAGTTTGAGTCATTGATGTCACTTTAGTATTCTTTGGCGGCCGTAAATAGTAAATACTAGCTTATATGTAGATAAGTAAATTTGTTTTACGTAGAAATTGAAGATCATGGTGCGTTAGTACATTTTATCTTCGTAGTTTCCTTAGAGGGAACGGTTTTAGTAACTTTTTGCTTTACATATCGAAGTATTTACGTGTCTATTTAGAGTGTTTTACATTCAATGAAATTCAAAATCTACTAGGTATGTCAATTTAATTACTTCTAAAAATTGTGCCTATATAATTATGTATTAAATAGGTAACCTCTTATGGTTACCTACTTAATACATAATTATTATTGTAGATTAATAATAAAATTGCCTTTTGTGACTTTTGCCACATGTTTGCTACAAGTAACCAAGTTTTAAAACTGTCGTCTCAATTTTTTATTATTATTTTTCATTAGAAGTTGCATTTGTTTTATTTTTCCTTCTTCAACCAATACAGTAAAAAGATTACATCTAGGTAGATATAGGAATTATAGTATTCTTATTTATTTTGTTTGCTGCTAGCTTCTTAGCACAAATACAAAAATCTGACTCGATATAAGCAGAATTCTATCGAGACAAGCCATAAATCAATAATTAATAGGAATTTCAAAACCCGAATAAACGAGCAATGATGCATTAGATCGTCGTAAAAAGTAGTGATTTGCTACTTATTATGTCAGCAATATTTCAGATTATTCAGACGTACGGAAATAGGTTTTCTCTTCACGTATAAATATAAATGTTTTGAACAATATGAAAATTTATGAAAAATCAATTAGAGTGAAAAAGCTCAAGTTCTAATCACATTTAAAATATATTATTATTATATGTAAATTATTTTAAATGCTGTTTGAACTAGGGCTTTTTTGGCAATAAGGAAAATATAGCACAGAATAAGGCATAATTTTTGTATTATAAAAGCCACTATTTTAATCGCATTACTATCTAATTAAGCCCCATGTTAACTACAAAGTTCCAACCTTTATTGGTTTATAACCAGCGCAGACTCCTGTCAGTATTTCCTTAAGCGTCATTACGTTCGAACGTCGTCGATTTACGCTTCAATCAAAATGGCTCGTTATTCTGACTCCACTACCATGGTGGTAAATGACTCAGATGGTAAGTAACATAAAAATGTGACTAAGGTTAAGAATTATTTATTCTCAAATCGAACGTGTGAATCTCCATTTGTCATATTTTAAATTTCCCATATTAAATATTGAACAACCGTGTTGAACATGCCGAGGGTGGCGCTGACGTCATTCAAACATCATCCCCAGCGAGCGCCACTCGTGTTGAAGCAATCGGTTTGAATCAACAGAGTTATCTTACATCTAGTTATCGATGACGAATGTAGTAGAAATGACAAGCCGGCAACATTTGTACCCAACTATTACGTCTGGTGCGTTTAGTTTACTTTCCTTATTTAAAAAAATATTTACTTTAAGCAGAAGATATAAGATATTAAATTGAAGATTATTATTAAACTGAAGATATCTGTCTTTATTTCTCAGTTAATGAAGATGCCAATAGCGAGTCGAAAACATGTGGGAAAATCCTGGTGGTGCTCTCCTGGATCCTAGTCATAATAACAATGCCGTTCTCACTTTTCATCTGCTTTAAGGTACTTATTTACCCTATTTATTTATTAGCCTTAAAAGGATTGTGTCATGTTATGGGTTCTATTCAGTTGTTTTATTTTTGTCTTCTCAGTACTTTCATTGTTACAATGAAATATTATGTTCATATTATTTAATATTCCAATATTTTTTTAATTATATAAATACTTTTTGTTAAGGATCAATAATATAATATGAGTAATAATAATTAATAATTCTGTAAACCTTTTTTAATAAATTACTTTTTAAATTCTTTTGTAGTAAAGGCTTTGCGAAGATTTGCTTAAAATTCTAAGACACATATTTATTAACTTTTAAATTTATTTATTCCACTTTAGATAAGACAAATTACAACACCTAATTCCGGTTTACTTTGTTGAAATATTCGAGACTAGCTCGAAGTTATTGCAAAGCGAAATATTATCATTATTTTGAAAGGTTCATAGTTAAGAATTTTGCTCACTTTTAAATACGGGAATACATAGCAAAAGTGTGAATGCGTTTGTTTTTTTTTTTCTATTTAACACGCTTTATAGCTTAACATCTATATGTTGTATCTATATTAGTAATAGAATTTTAATTTAGTTTACGTCTATTTCCACACGTCTAAATTTTCTGAAATTTCATAGACATGTTAATGACCGATAACAATACGATGATTTCATGTATGTGCTCTACTATTTTCATCAGAACGATTAATTTTTATGTATAATTTTGAGATAAGCGGTTTTGATAATATTAATATATTTGTATAATAACTTTTGATGCCTCCGTTGCCTCTGTCTATATTCCATTCAAATTAATTAAATCACAACCACGCCTGCACGCAGTGCACCCTAATATTTGAAAGACCGTCAGCGACCGCAATACGACTTAGTGATGAAGAGTAGCATTATCAGTAGAAGTGCGAGTGTAATCAGATTACCAGTATGAGTGCGAGGGCATCCAGGTTCTGCAATCCTGTAAGTCAGCTTGCCCAGGGCAAATTTCACAAAAAGTGCATGTCAATTGGCACAATCTTAAAAAGGTCTTCGTCCTGCAGTGGGTCAAAGCGGAAACTTTTCTTCTCGTTCTTTTTCATCAGGCCATTTAACAGTGGTAGAGCCACGTGGCAGCTTTGCTGTTGCACGTATGGGCCGGCTCAAACCGGGGTGGTACCACGACCTCACAGAATACCGGCGTGAAGTGGAAGCTCTGCTTTCGCGTTTCGTCTGGTGAGTGCAGGTGGCCGGAGGCCCAAATCTCATCCCCCCCATCAACATGGTAGCGGAATTAAATGATAGACTACCCCAGGTGGGTACAAGCACCCCTGGAGAATCCCTCGCTGAGCATCCACGACCATGTTTCTCCACTTCTGAGCGTGGGTGCTCAGGCTGCCCCGCGTATCCTGGGGGGGGGAGGGCAAAATTCCGCTCAAGACTACAACTGCTTGGGGCAAACGGAGCAACAAGACCAAGGCGACCCCTGCCACGCTGTCTGTGAATTTCTGCAATATCAGGGGACTTCACCCTAACCTAAACGCCGTCCACTACCATCTCGAGACGGCGAGGCCGGCTCTGCTCTTTCTGACCGAGACGCAGGTGTCCTCTCCGGCTGATGTTTCGTATCTATCCTACCCGGGGTACAAACTGGAACACTCCTTTGTGCCTCGGGCTGGAGTTTGCGTTTACGTCAGAGAGGACATCTGTTCTCGACGCCTCGGCAGACTTGAAGGTTCGGACCTGTCCATACTTTGGCTACACGTAGACAGCGACGACCATCCGTGCGTCTACGGGTGCCTTTATAGGTCCCATAGCGGTAATGCCGAAACAGACCGACTCTTCGACCACGTCCAAATGGCTGTAGATTCGTTGCTACAGCAGATCCCCTGCGTAGAGATCGTGATCCTCGGCGACTTTAACGCCCATCACGCCGAATGGCTTGGTTCACGTTTAACCGATCATGCGGGGAGATCTGTTCATGATTTTGCCCTGGCATATAGTCTGACACAACTGGTTATTTCGCCTACGCGGATTCCAGATGTGGAGGATCATGCACCTTTCCTGTTGGACCTTCTGCTGACCTCTCACCTGGACGGATATCAGATTTCCGTCAACGCCCCTTTAAGCTCCTCGGACCATTGTCTTGTCCGGAGTGTAGTGCCACTCATGCTGAAATCGCAGTTGCATTATGCAGGCTGCCGCCGTGTTTGGCACTATAGGTCAGCCGATTGGGATGGGATGCGGTCTTTCTTTGCATCCTACCCTTGGGGGCGGGTTTGCTTCTCGCCGGACGATCTCAACGTTGTTGCGGATTCTGTCGTTGATGTGGTACTTTAGGGTAAGAAACTTTTTATCCCTTCCTCTGTGGTGCCCATTAGAGGCCAATCTCAGCCATGGTTTGGTCGCTCCTGTAAAATAGCATCGTGCTATAAGCACGAGTGCTACCAGGCCTGGGCTGACGCATCAGTGTCCCGGGGTGTAAATACCAGCACTCTAAAAAAGAAGTGTAATTCCGCCTCTAGGTCCTTCAAAAGAGTCATTGCCAAGGCAAAGTCAGAGCACAGAATTGAAGATAATCGAGAATTAACGAGAAACTAGTTCGCCTTCCTTATGGAACCCGTGCATTCTGGTCTCTCGCCAAGACTGTCCAGGGGAATTTCTGTCAGCCATCTCTTCCATCTCGCAGGGCATGCCCATACCGCAAAGGAGAAAGCCGATCTTCTATGCTCTTTCATTGCGTCTAACTCGACTCTCGATGACGGGGGGAGTACGCCGCCGACCATCCCGTGGTGTGAGTGCTCCATGCCGGAAGTGCAATTCACACAGCGCTCGGTTCGCAAAGCATTCCTCTCCCTGGACATCCACAAGTCGAGAGGGCCTGACGGAATCCCCCCAATTGTGCTGAGGACGTGTGCTCCGGAGTTGGCAGCGGTTTTAACGCATCTTTTTCGGTACTCCTACTCCCTAGGCGTAGTCCCCAAATCATGGAAGACGGCTTTCATCGACCCGATCCCTAAAAAAGGTGACCGCTCAGACCCGTCCAACTACCGGCCTATCGCCATCACCTCCTTGTTCTCCAAAACAATGGAGTCCATTGTAAACTGCCAGCTCATGAGGTACCTTGAGGATCACCAGCTGATTAGTGACCGCCAATACGGTTTTCGCCGTGGTCGATCAGCTGGTGATCTTCTGGTCTACCTAACTCACAGATGGGCGGAGGCAGTAGAGTCCAAGAGGGAGGCATTGGCCGTTAGTTTGGACATTGCGAAGGCCTTCGATCGGGTTTGGCACAAAGCACTTCTTTCGAAGCTCCCTTCCTATGGGCTTCCCGAGAAATTGTGCGATTGGATCACCAGCTTTCTTGCAGATCGGAGCATCAAGGTCGTTGTTGACGGTGCAAGCTCCGATTGCAAGCCACACTACGCGGCAAACGTCCCGATACCATCCACACCATCTGGATGCTTGGCGGTCCACCACTGTACGTTTCAAAAGGAGTTTTCTTCCGCGTACAACCTTTCTGTGGAATAGTTTACCACCGGCGATTTTTCCGGACCGATACGACCTGGGGACCTTCAAGAAAAGAGCTTACTCCTTTCTAAAGGGCCGGCAACGCACCTGCAATTCCCCTGGTGTTGCGGTTGATCATGGGCGGCGGTAATCACTTAACATCAGGTGAGCCGCATGCTCGTTTGCCCCCTCTTCTATAAAAAAGGCAAAAGTAATTCACACGTGGGTCTCTTTTAAAGCAAGGAGATTTTGTCTCAACCGTCATGTTTGACAAGTGAATTAAGAATCGCATTATCAGACGGTTAGCACCTTACTTCCCGTCGATCAGCGTATTTTAATTCTGGTTTAAACGAGAGGACAATACTGCCATTTACCGGAAGCTGTATGATTTCTCAAGCATTTCCCATAAATTGTTCACACCCGCGGGACAAAATGAGCGTTATTTGAATTGTGTTTGGAGGATTTTGGGCTCCTACGATTAATCTGGCTGCTTAACAAAAGTATTTAAGTTGTTTTCTGAGTATCATGTTATATAAACATCAAGACTCAGACATTAGATAAGACCACGCTATTCACCTGCCTATCGGGAATTACCGCAATATTCTATACCTACAAAAATCAGCACATTCTTTCGGTGAAGTGAATAATGTTGTACATACCTTTTTCACCTGATATATGCAATCGTTTAAAGTAGGTACATACTAACACTACTCTATTCTTATATGTTTTGTTACTCACAAAATAAGTAATGACTGGGGCCCTGGGATCATGAACATTTTGAGAAACTTCCTTTTTGTCTAAGGAGGTAATAATTTGCTGTCTAAATAGAGCTTAATTCTCTTACATCGCAATAACAACATGTAAAAACATACCTCGTCTTACTTGAAAAAATGTCTTAAGTGATAATTTTATTTGATTTTAAGAAACTTCCTACATTCTAATTTCTAACTTACTTTCCGACGTGATAAAACCACGTCGCAGCTGTATTATAGCTTAAGAATGCCAGTTTTACCATGCTCGCACGGTATCTAGTATACGTTAAATAAATAAGGTCACCTTAATCTTTACCGCCCTATAAAACCAAAACTAGGAAGAGGACAGAGACAAAAACACAAAATCGTGCACTATAACTTATTATGAAGAAAAAAAAAGCAAACAAGCTTTGGCAATAATTAAGAACTCTTAGAAAAATCAGCTTAAAAAAACTAGCTACACTACACCATACTAAAATCGATTAAAATATTTACTTTAATATCAAGTATCCAAATGGCGTCGATAAAACAGAGCCCTTCTGACCTTTTATTGTTTGATTGACTGATGAAGAGCTTATTGCAGAACTATCTATGTAAACAAGGCTGTAGTTTCCGAGTTATAACAAAGTGACCATATTAACCGGATGACCATATTACCCTCATTTACTATATATGATGTAAATGAAGAATAATGTTTTTACTTCGTATATTGAGTTTAGGGAATCAGAGATCCTTTTACCGGTAACACGAAATTATATCTAAATC